TGACACTGTCTTTCACCAGGCTCACAATGTCATCCAACCGGGGCTCTAAACCCTCCTCCTCTAGACGTGAACAAACCTTTATGAACTTTCTTTGTAGACGAACAGGTTATCTCTTGGCAACAGTTTCAAGCACGGAACTTGAGTTCAATTCATCTACTCAGTTAAAAGACATGAGTGTATTTCTATAAACCATCAAATTATCCAAGAACTCTGCAAGTTCCTCTGGATTATCATTCAACTGTGATCCGTTACCTTTCACTGTCCCGAAAATACTACGGGAGATCATATATGGTTTTCCAAACCTTTGACGTAATATCTTCCTTGCCTCAGCATATCATTCGTTCGAGGGCATAAACTTACAGCACTGTATGGCTCTTGCAGCTACACCAGTGCAATATCTCAACAAATACATTAACTTCATATATATATATATATAACCATATAATGAATTTATGCGAAATAACTTGTGCCCATGGTTTTTGTACATCTGCCCACCTTGTCGCCCTGGCACAGTCTCACACAGCGTGTCTGCGGATAGCAGAAACAGAGCACCACTTTTGTGTCTTGACACAGTCTCATGCAGCTCTCCACCTGATAACACCACATCTTCAAAACTCGGTAAAGACAGTAAGGGGGACTCCAGCCCAACCAACTGGGATTATCGATCTTCGTAAAGTGAAGACTACCAAGGTTACACCTAGAACATCAGGGGAAGTCAGAAGTGCTAAAGCATCACTTGCATCCGCTAGCAAGCATAGCAACATAGCAAAGGCCAGTCAAAACCTGATGAAATTTAAAGTGAATGACCCCACAAAGGAGGACAAGCAGCCGAAAACCAGACCTGAGTCTGAGATCAGTCGTTCGAATCCCTTTATCCTGTTTAATTTAGCCATGTGCAGTGACAGTTTGCTCGAACAAAGGGCCCTGTTTGATCAGGAACAGTGGATTAGGTCTGAATACCAATTCAGCAAAAATTGTATAGGTTGTACAGAGGTGTCCAGGCACCTCAAGGTAAGCCACCTCCATTAAGGCTTAAACTGGATTCTGCTGAAGAGGCTGGAAGAATACTACTACTGGCTGAAGTATTAGCTATCAACAGGAGTTCCAGCACAACAATGAGACATGATAGGCCATGGACTAACAGGAAAATGGTGAGGGAACTGATACCTTCTACGCCTATGCTCATACACCGTGTTCTGGAGCTGGAAACTGGCACCGCTGGTGAAAAACAAATGCATGACGTACTGCAATGGAAATGGCTATCATCCCAGACGGCCCTTGGTGCTTCTGGAGCAATCTTGATTTTCCAGCTACCTCACTCCACTCATTTCACACTTATTAGCTCCCCAAGGCTGCTAAATGTTAAATTCAACTTTCAGGAGCAGTTGGCGCTGATACTTGAATGGTGGTACAAGAGCAAAGGGCAAATAAGGAGGACACATTCGATGCTGTGAAAGCAGATCTAGAACCATAAGGAGGCAGCACGCTGAGGCCTTATTACGTCCCCAAGCCTCAGTGACACTAGAATGATGCGGTACTCAGAACTGCAGTCAGTGACACTCAGCTGTCCTTCCCGATTTCAAGGAAGAAAACGACAACGGGCTGGTTCCATCGGAATCGGCTAACTAGTCGCAATATTTAGTCCCCTACCAGCAGAAAACGTAACATCAACCACACTACGACATGCTGAGGTAATGAGACTCACTGTCAGTTGCCTTTACAGCAATATAAGAAGGCTGGGAGGGAAAGTAGGTGAACTCAGAAACCTCCAGTCACACCTAGACCTTAAAATAATCATCTCCACCGAAAACTGGATAACCTCACTATCACCGATAATGAAATCAGTATAAGTGATATGGTTCTGGTCAGGAGAAACGGATAATAAGGAGGGAGGGGGAGTTGCTACATACTTTGACAGGCAACTTAAGTGTATGCGCGCAACGGACCCACCACTTATTGAACTCCCAGACTCCATATAGTGTCATTTCACCGTATGCTACACCAAGCATTTACTTGGTGGCGTCTACCGATCACCCACTTGTGGAGCGGAGTACAACCAGCTGCTGGTTAGCACCATCACAGGGATATAGGACTGGGGCTGTGACTAAATCACCACAGCTGGAGATTTCAATGGTCCATCACTTAACCTTGGCTTGGGGTATGCTCAGGGAAAACTCAGTCAAAATCTACCGCAAACCATTAGAAATACAGGAGTGATTGAGAATGTTGGGGACGACACTAGATGGGACCCTAGTGGAAATTCATCGAAACTAGATTACATTCTAACTAGTGACCAACTGGTCGCCAAAAAGGTGCAGATGATGACTCCTCCAGGAAGTAGTGACCATGCAATCATAGGAATCGATATTGTGCTCCGTGAGCACTTGCAGTGGGACGCCACGTGACCATGTCTGTGCTATAACAAGGTGGGCTATTCTGAAATGCGGAGGCTTTTATCCGACGCAGAATGGCCCTTAGCGTGGGATGAGCTATCTGTGGATGAACACTGGGAGGCGGTCAAAAAGATTATTCATACAGCAATCTGGGATGCCGTCCCTTTAGTCACAACACAGCCCAAAAGTCATCATGGTTGAAGAGAGGTACGCAATGTATTCTGCAAGCAAAGCGGAAGGCGTGGTTTACGTGGCGAAAATCCAAGAGTCAGACTGACCACGACGCATACCTGGAACTCAGGAACCGGTGCAACGTGAGAGCCAGGAGTGACAGAAGGTCATTCCAGGCTAACCTTACCGAAAACTCCTAGCAAACCCCATAAACCTGTATCTATTCATGTCGGAAAAGAAACTAACCAACCAGTGGGAATGTGCTTTAGTAGGTCCAAACGGTCAATACTTCACTAGTCTAGAGATGGCGGAAACCTTCAGTTTAGCGTTCGCCAAACAGTTAAACGGCAGACCAAAATGGTGACACTATTTCACCGGCCGAAGACATATTGGCTACTCCCTAAATAAACGCGGCAATAGTACTAGGGAAGCTACAGAGACTCACATCTGGAAAGTCCGCGGGTTGTGACGACATCAGGCCATGTGTTCTAAAACAGTGCGTCGAAGCTCTCTGTAGGCCCTTATGCCACTTGTTCCAACACTTGATGGATTCGGGGAAACTGCCAGAGGAGCGATAAAATCCTTCCTTTCTCCGACCTTCAAGGGTGGGGATAGGCAAAATGCCACTTGTTATAGACCAGTAGCTCCACTCCTAGTGGTATCAAAAGTAATAGAAAGTCTTATTCATGATCACATCAGAGAGCGCCTTGATAGATCTAGTATACTCCATGAAGCCCAACATTAATTCAGGAAAGGCAGATCTTGTGTAACAAACCTACTATCAGCTTTGGACGATTGGACGTCATGCTAGAATATGAATGTTCCAGTCCATGTGGTCTTCCTAGACTTTGGGAAGACATTTGACACAGTTTACCATGACCTTCTCATCACCTTCTCCTTCTCTTAAACAAAATAAGTGAGGCAGGTATGTAAAAGCCACTTCTGTGATTATCTTGGCATGGCTCATCATCAGGAGTGTTGCAGGGTTCTATCCAAAGACCACTGATGTTTATGATTTTATCAATGACCTACATTGCCGTCTAAACTGTCCGACTCTTCTATACGCTAACGACGCAGAGATATGGAGGGCGATAAATTGTCTGGAGGACTCAGATAGGCTGCAGGCACATATAAAGCTTCTGGAAGACTGGTCAGTGGCATGACTTTCAACCTGAAAAAGTGCAAAGTAGTAAAATTACGCACCTGTAGACTGCAGAGTGCAAGTTACACCCTGTGCAGTGAAAGCTTGTCCTGCAAAACGTCGGAGCGCGACTTAGGTCTAGTTCCAGCGGAAAAATGGACGCAAGCGTAAATTACATGGAGTACGTAGCGAGGGCATATACGGTCATACACTTTACACACAGATAGTTAGGTACACTCACTCCTGAGCTCTTTCTAAGGTTGTACAATACATACGTCAGACCACACCTTGAAGTGCATAATATAACCCCTACTGCTTAGAATAGACACCAACCTCTTGGAAATAGTTCGAAGACGGGCAAAATAGGAGTGGTTGGTCTCCGAAGTAAACCGTATGATGAAAGGCTAAAGTAATTAGGCCTATTCACACTTAACTACCGTCGGCTTGAAGGGGGGATTTGATTACTGTTTACAGGATAACAAATGACAAGAATCACCCAAACAAGGATGTTCTGCTACTGAGTAGATATAGGCTTCGTCGTGGAAACCTCAAAAGGATAGCCCATCAGAGGGCAAAGACCTGGGTGCGCTCCCACTTCTTTTCACTGCGGGTTTGCCGTCCCTGGAATTCCTTACCGGCAGATGTAGCTGTGGCACCGTCTGTGAACACCTCTAAGCGAAGGCTGGACAGTCATGCACCAACAAAAGGACTGCGTCCAAATGACCTATCTCAATAAAATTCCGTTGACCATCCTGGGGTAGACAACTAAGTTCGTCGTTCTACTTCTTTACATTCGCTTCCGTCTTACTCTTCGGACAACTCTAACTGCTACACTTATTATTCTTATTATTACTGATATTTTATGTATATATCAACTTGAAATTTAGTCAGTTGTCTGTTTAGCGTTTACTTTATTTCATTTTCTGTCTTTCGTTCTGAATAACTTCACTAATTATATCCGTTATTATTATCTCTTTTCTTTTGACGACGTTACCGGAGGACTAACTGGTGAAATGGTTAACTCCATTCACAGTAGTAACAGTCTTAACACACTGCACACTACAAAAAATCTAATTAATCACAGCACTACTCCCTCTGGAGTCAACCGAAGCTACGACAGTCGAGTGGCGGGACGAGCTACGAAGAAGTTTACAGAAGATCAAGAACCTTAACTTACAATCAGGAGGCGAGCACAAAGAAATCAAATTGGTGTATACTAGATCGTAAAAACGATATGGGATATTGGAACACAAGCTTGAACGCTTTTATCGCAACTAAGGAACTGAATGTAAAGTCTTAGTTTGTCAAAGGCACTTTGAAGGTTACAAACAACCGGACGAATTTAAAGTAGTACGGTGTCAAGCTGTTTCAGGTTTCCTACTTTAACAATCTGTCATAACTCTCGATATCAGGTAGCTAAAATTCTTTTTATGCATTAATTTGATGGTATTTTATCGTTGGCAACATACCAATTTATTTACCAGTCAACCTTTCATCTTAATTATAGGTTGTCCACTCGTTTAATAAACGGCATCACAACTAGTCGTGGATTTACAACATACTTGAAATCCCCAAATCGCTGAAAAACAATGGTATCTGAAGATGATTTGTGTAAATTGGATGGGGTGTCAGCTGCAGAGCTTTTTAAGCCTGAACTTGGTTTGACTTACAAGTAATGCGTTCTCAGTAATCTTAATCTTTTCAAGTGATATAATCATTCTTCCTGGATACGTTGGATTTGGTACCGATGAAGTCGACATTACTAGCAGGATATCTAAACAAATTACTTTGAAGGTTCCATTTGCATCTTCTCCCATGGACACAGTAACAGAAGCAAAAATGGCTATTGCAATGGGTGTAAGCTGTTGAAACCTATAAAGTGTTATATTTATTTCCAGCTTTCCGGTTCAATAGGGTTCGTTCATCATAACTGCCCCATAGACTACCAAGCGAATGAAGTGAAAAAAGTTAAGGTACGTTAATGTTCATCCAGTCAACATTTAATATTAAGGTAAATATTTCCTTATGAGTTCATCGTGTTTTTTATATGGCTAAACAGCTCTTAAGCAATAGCTTTAATGTTATCCAACATAATATAACTATTAGTCTTATGAATACTTTGAGTCAATTAATAATCACTTCACCATGGGTCTTGTTAATTAGAATTTGCACTTAATTAACTAATCATTGTAGTGTGTATGAAAGACTGAAGCACTGATGCCACTTTTTTTAACTGGACAGTTCCATGTTTTGCGCGACTTCGAGTTACATTCTCGAGTTAATGTTACCAGATGATTGTCAATAACTTCACCAAAATGTGGTTAAAATCAAGACATGGGCGTATAAACAGAGGGACACTACGTATGTTGAACTAAAACCAACCAACAATCACCTTTCTGTCAGCCCCTCGTAAATTAAGTTTCGGACATTCAGACAGTATTATTATTAGCCCTCGGTAGTTCTCGAACATATGCGTGTTCATTAAATTTTCTGTCGTACCTCACTGAAACTTAAGGAGATGATAGTTAAAAGACTAGTAAATGACAAAACTATGAAGTGTGGAGGCCGGACTTTGTGGAAAATAGTACAATATCCAGTGTGAAGTGTATCTTTATGCATGTTAGTAGAGATTCGAAACCGAAAAATCTAGGGAACTACGCCCATCTATTCGTAATTCATGGTTTGATTGCTCGGTTTAGCAACCCACTTTTCAGTTTGATTATCTTAATATTTGTCTTATTCATTCATGTATGGTCTTAATCAAGATCTTTGTTTAGACTTAGCACAACAGATATAAATTCCGTACATCGAAACATTCGAATTTTATCAGTATCTTTGGCACGATTTTTATGGTATCAAGTGTCTTACTGTGTAATGATGCTTCTGGTTTTGTGTTAAGGTGATTAAAGTTTTACGATTACTGAAAACACCTATGCTTAACGATAGACGTAGTAGACTGTAACAACTTTACATAGTATAATTTACTATGACAATTTTCTAAGATTTTTACGTCTTAAATAATGTCGAAAAATCATGTTTTCCACCTTTCGCCAATCTTGATTTTTTCAGACAAATGAATTAGCAGTCATATATGTTTTTGGCGCGACCTATGCTTGCACGCGAACCTCTTAATATTTAATTCATTTCTCTTATTTTAATCTCATTGTCGCTTTGTTCTTTTTTATACCGAAGTCAATGGTATGTTGTTAGCATTCGGAGGTTACATAGTCCTGCACATTCTATTCTGTCACTTAATTTCGTAGTACTCATACTGCGAATTTTGTCGATTGATCTGTTGTATAAAGGCACCTAATTCGTTGTTATTGTACAACTCTCTTTTGTGATTTTTTAAAACAGATAGTCATAGGCAACCACTTCTATGTAATACTTGATGTCGCTTTCACAAGTGATGACGTTTATCAATCAAATTTTTGACTGTATCGTTGAGTTAGTTAGTTAGCCCTTACTGTACATTTCAGCGAACACCACTGAAGTGAGAAGGATAGTCACTCAATAGCTTTGTTCTTCTGGGAATTTCAAGAAATCACTATTCTCAGTATTTTACCTTGATTTTATTTCTAAAAGCTGTGCAAACCAGGTTTACCATAGTGTCATTCCTCTAAAGAGAATCTTTGATTGGAAACACTAAATCCAATTCCTTTCACTGTATAAATCCACATCACAGCATGTTACGTTTACTAGCACTATTAAATTAAAACTGTGCTTGTCCAACTAACCGTTCTGTAGTTAACTAACCAAATCCTCCATCTGTCTTTTAGTCAGTCACTCACTGTATATGAGTAATTATTGTTAGTATACTTCCTATTCTTCTATTTATGTGAATGTAGTGATTTCTTTCTAATCTCTGGAGCTAATTTCCTTTCTGAATGTCTATGTTTTTCAGCCTACTTCTAATCCTCACCTTCATTAAGACATTATTTTAAGAGAACATTCTTGAACTTAGTTGTGTAGTATTTGTAGAATAGCATCATTTCAGTTCAAATTATCACAAAAAGTTGATGTTCTCTCTACATTAAAATGGTAAGACATTCACGTTGACTTATTGTATAAATTAAATTTTTATTTTTTATTTCGCTACAATTTCAGAAATATAAACAAGGTTTCATCTTATCTCCGATTGTCGTTTCACCAAAACAGCCAATAAGTGATATTCTTAGTATAAAGAAGCAGTATGGATTTAGCGGGATTCCTGTAACTGTAGACGGTTGTGTAGGCAGTCGTCTTGTTGGTTTAGTCACTTTACGTGATATGGATTTTTTGGATCCTAATGATTATACAACAACTGTTGAGAAGGTTTGTTTGTATTTTTTTAAAATTACTCTTTTTTATTGAATTATTTCTTTCTTTCAGAAGCAATAATATTCCATGCAGTCAAACTATCAATATTGTTGAGATTTTTGTTAGTTACGCAAAAATGTGATACATTTTTTTCATTCACATCCAGGATAATCTTTTTTCTTAGCCACAGTTTATCTCTCCATAAATTTTCATAACATGAAGTCGAATTTGTATGTTATGCCACGGTTGTCTTTTAAACGACATTTTATGTTGATAATGAATTTGTGTCGCAGATAAGAAAAACTGGTTTCTAGAAATTCGTAAATATCGTCCTCAGTTGTCTTATGCTTTAGGCTGTTTCACTTCTTATCCGATAATGATTTGCTTATTGTGACTGCACTTGTGCAATACATACGCCACGCAAAATATTTTAACAAACTGATGTAATGCTTGCCTTTTGTTGGATCGAAGTCAATTGATTTTCAGAAATAATATCAAACTGCATCCGAAGCAGTATAATATAGAACGAACAAAATAAAATGAATCAAAGAAGTTAAGGAATTATAAAGTGATGTAGAATAACATCAATACTTGGAACTAAATAGAATACAACTGCATATCCATCAATACTGACTTGACAGTTTCACTAGATAGCTGTAATCCATTAGTTTACCCATTATTATTGTTTTATTCAGACAAATAAATGCCAATTTTACAATTTAGTGAGTCTTTTTTAGCTAATTAGATTGGTTTCCCTTTCAGTGGACACCCACCCAGAAAATAATTATAGATCAGGTCATTCGGCTGCTTTAAATGCAACCGGTAACTGTTCTCTACCTGATCGGTAATTTACAAGTAGTCAGTCAACACTATGCTTTAATTTTGCGATTGCCGAAACTTATATATATATATTGTTTTATTGTTACAGTATTCTTCCATTTATAAGAAATGTAGTTCAGAGCATTATTCCATTTTAGGTAATGACCCCTTTTGATGAGCTTGTTACAGCTTTCTCTGGTGTCACTTTGACTGAAGCCAATGATATTCTTCGGAAAAGTAAAAGAGGTAATTGTGCAAGCGTTGTAGTTCTATTTTTCATTGACAATCTCTTAAATAAATCTTGCCTGAATGATAGTTGGTAGAATTTTGCTTACTTTGATTACGGTTTATCTTGCTGATATGAGTTCTGAACAGTAGGGTAGTCGACAAATAGACGTGACTAAAGTGTATACATAATCAAGCGTCAGTTAATTCAGTGGTACCTTATATACTTTCGCTGTTTTGTCATAAGTTTATGCTTACTGACGAGTTGTAGCAGTATTTCTGTATTATTACACACTTATTAGTCTCAATAGTTTTGCTGCGTAATAAATATAGAATGCTAAATAATTTATATTCAATCATTGAAAGCTTTTTGTTTACGTGATGGATATTCAGTCACTTATTCAATCCATCGGCTTATTTTCAGTAAGGGAGAAGTGTTAGTAAAATATGTAATAGCAGAGATAGTATATATTTTCAACTTGTGATGGATTCTAATTGCATTTAGAAATTGCGATGTTGAAAATTCATTATGAACACTTAAATGATTACGGTTGGCATAAAATAATGTCATCTTCACTCCTGTTAGCGAATACAGTTTTATATAATGTTGTGCTACATGCTTCTGCATTCAACAATCGTGATTAATGTGTTGTGGCTAATTAATACTACCTGGACCCCCAAAACCTGATATACTGAGTAACATTTAGGTTCTAAGTTAATTTACTGGAGAAATTGTTTGTAGTTCCTCCAAAAATATAATGGCTAGTGATTATTTATCATAAGCCTACTTTTGCGCGTGCAGTGGTGTAGCTTGTTAGCTTAAGCAGTCGACTTTCGACCGGTAGGTTTCGGTCTAGAATCTCTCTCCCCATAGTTCCACTTCCCTTGGAAACTTGATAATGTCATGTTGTGACTTATAGCTTAGAAGTTCATACAAACACTCTGGATACGAATCAGAATATAAAATCTCTTTGATTAGACACTAGGTAGAAAGTAACTAGTGTTATGAGTCTAGTCAAGTTTGCAATGTGGTCACCATGCTATGTGGCTCAGCATCACGGTAAACTCTGAATTGATGTTAGATGGTTAGTAGATAGGCCTGTAACTAGGCTTCATCCTCGTTGGCAGTCGTCAGCAAGGTGTATCCGTAGTTTCGGAGGAACTCATGTCCCCTGTGAGATTCGAACCCGTGTCATCCAGTAATGTAGTCGAAGACATTACCACCGAACTATTCACGCACCAAACAAAAGATTAGAGTCATGACATAAGTTATTACCTAGTGCCCAACCAAAGTATCTAATACAGTTCAATGAGAGGTCAAACGCAAGTCCAAATAGGTCGCTTTTAAGGTGACGCGGCTTCTAATCTCACAGTCCTTCAAGACTTCAGATACGTCTTGCTGACTGGTGAGTACCAACAGGCACGAGACCCTAGGTTGAAGGCTTCCTGCCAAATGCCCTTCAATCAACTAATAACAAAAGTACAAAACTTCTGTGGGCCTAGTGATCAAAGTCACTACCATTATGGTGTGTATATTTATCAGTATAGTTGGTGAACTCATTCAGCAGCAAATGTGTATGCGTCTACTCGTTCATAAAATGGCAACTCGTGTTTCTTAGTTGTTTTAAACACTCTTCACCTGCTTATAGCCGATTGCTTATCATATTTTTAACTCATGTACTTGGCACTGAGCTAAACTTGTGTTTTTATATGAAAGGGTTGTTGGTAATACCCAGTTGCCAGGCTAGAGTGGGCTAGGGCAAGCACTTAGCTCACTGATTCACACCTTTGCTATCTATTTACATTGTACACAAAACGGAGTAAAGAATATGCCCAGTAGCTAAGTCGTTTGTGGAAATGATTGACATGATTACGATCACTTGTAAAGTAAGGAAATAGTTAAACTAATAGATAGCTAGAAGTCTCATTGAATTCACATGAATTTTGGTAGGACGAAAAATGGAACTGTGACTTACGCTTTCAGATGCATAACCTTCATTTAAATATTTATAACCCTGAGACTAGCTTTATATCTATTAATGCTTAACGCGAAGCAAACAGTAGTATTAAGCTTTAAAAAACAAATGGATTTGGTCCGCAGGCCAGCACATTAATCTCTATATATATCTTCGAGTTGAACTCGGTGGGGGTAAATCTGAGAGAGGTTCCTTGCATAATTCAAAGACTTTGTCTGTCTGTCTGTCTGTTTCCGACATAGAACTTTGCAAATATGTGCGGCAGTTCAAGTCGCCACACTCCATATAACACACAAAGCAAGAGAAGAAAGTAGGAGAAATGCATATTAGAGACAGTAAATAGGGGTGTGAGACAAAGGAATAGTAATAACGAAGAACAAAACAGTTTCATCGGAAATCATAAGTCACAAGGAGTGGATGCATCTACACCAGCCATTAAGAACGATTTTGAGCCATGTCACCAATTGTTTCCAACCATTGGTTTTTACCGTCCCGAGGACCCCAACCAGTCAGGAAGTCTACACCTTCCTACGTGGCCTAGACTAACTGTTGTAGATTTCATTGACTGTTGCCATGTTTTGGTTTGACCGCCACTAGCTCTTTTCCAGTCTGACCCTATATCAGCTAACATTGCCCGTAGGTCGAGGAAGGCGATGACTAGGCATACGTAACACATGTCCTAACCATCTCAGTCGATGTAATTTCACAGTTTCGTCGACTGATTTCCCCTCCTTACCTAGCACTCGACCGACTCCTAGCCTCAATATTGCTCACCTTATTATGCCACTTCACACGAGAGATAGAACGCAGACACTTAGATCAAAGACAGCTAATCTTTTCATGTCTTCCACTCCCAATGGCCAGGTCTCACAGCCAAAGACTTTAAGAAGCACTTAGTGTATTAGTACACTTGGTGAAGTTTTGTACTTTAAGTTTTGCTTGAATATTGTTTAAGCGTAACTTGTCATGTTTTCTGTTATGAGGTCATTCGTGAGGGTAGAATTAAGTAGTCTTCTATGGTTGTTAAGTGTAAAATATGCTATACTTTAGCGGAAACTACTGACTTAGTTAATGTTTTGATCAATAGGATTATCAGTCACAATATTAATATGCAGAAAAGCAGAGCACTAGGACTACAGTTCAGTTCACGTTGGTCAGGAATAGATTAAATCAAGTTATAGGCATCTATACATTTCTTGAAGAGAAAGTAAATTAATAAATACACTGATTTAAGATTCAGTTGATGCATTCATATTGCTTTTGTTTTATAATATTTTATGATTTATCTAGGTAAACTGCCAATCATCAATGAAAACCGTGAATTGGTGTCATTGATTGCACGAACTGATTTGAAAAAGAATCGGGATTATCCTTTGGCGTCCAAAGATTCAGAGTTAGTTTATACTTTTCTAAGCTTATTATGTTACTTATTATGCGTAAAAAAAAGCCTGTATGACTGTAAACGATGAACCAATAGTTAGAGAAGTACTGAATGTTCTTCATGTGCTCATAAGTGAAGTTGTATTGTACCAGTCGACAGTGTGTAATAAAAATACTATTACTAGAACTCGGAGGATGGGAAATTAAAGTGTGAAATAAAAATCAAACGAAAATTGGGGAAACAAAATAATACGATCGAAAAAAAACAAGGAGTTACTAAGGTGGCGATTACTTGGGTCACTGAAGTCCATTTGAGGAATTATTATTATGTGGTTGGAGGCAATCGCCAGGAAGCCTTGCTGACGAGTGCCAACAAGCTCGAGACACCGGTCCAAGGCTTCATACCGATTGGCTCCAGTTATCTAATAAAAACAATTCAAATTGTATTGTGATGGTGAGTGACCTAACATGGTGGCCACATTGAAAACTTGACTGATAGAATTCAGTTTGCATCAAAGGCAGGACTAGACTCATGACACTAGTTACTTACTACCCAGTGTTGAATCAAAGACCAGGAATTGTTATTTAACATTTATTTAAAGGACGACATACTTCGACGTTAGGAGTTAGTGAACAAAAAGTCATAAACCTGGACTTCATACTTGTTAGTATTCACGTGTGAAGAGTAGAAGCAACCTAAAGAAAACTCGTTCTATAGAAGATTTGAATGCCCGTCATCTGTTGCTAAAGCTAAATAATTTATCACTATGAATACGGCGTATTACCAGGATGCAGAACTGGGTGGAGAACCCTGCCCGGAACAAGCTGGATTCAGGAAAGGCAAATCAATTTGCTGATCAAAATGGCGAATCTACGCATGGTCATCGAACAAAGCGTAAAATGACAGTGAAAAGGTCTTCGACAGCGTTAACCAAGAAATAATTTGGAAACTGCTTCAACACTACGCATTGCAGTGCTCAAGTCTTTATCAACCTCATTCGACAGCCGGCTATATGGCAATACCACGTGTCAGAGGATCCACAACGGAAAACTCAGCGAAGCCTTTGGGGTGAAGAAAGTAGTAAGACCAGACTGCTGCTTAATTGTGGTGGACTGGATTATTTTGCTTCAGACTGTGGGGAGGGGGATGAGAAGACAGCAATACACTGGGCCGATAAGAAGAATCTAGAAGATATTCATTAACGCCTGGATAGGGTTTATTCATGTATTAAGGTGTGGATTTCGCAGGTAATTTATGTTTATTGTCACACAAACTTGAAGCCTGACAGGAGGAAAGCAACAAACTGGTTGAAGAAGCACGTGGCGAAGACAGGATTCCAGGTGAACAGAGATGATGAAGATAACCAACCAACAGCAACTGCAACCAGCACCAATCACCATCAACGGGAGAGATTTGACAGAGGATACTTCCTTCACTTACCTAGGAAGCATTGTTTCAGCAACAGGTGGCGGAAAGGATGAAGATTTCAAAGCAGGCCAAAATTGGAAATGCAAGATACGCCTTCATCAACCTGAAACCAGTCTGGAAATCTTCTGCACTCCTCCTCAGCATAAAGAAGAAGATTCGGATTTTCAACACAAATGTGAAGTCCACCCATCATGAAAAGGATTCCCGACAAGTTGCAGACTTTTATCAACACCTGCCTTCTCTGGCTGCATACTGAAGATCAAATAGTCAGCCAGAAAGGATAAGTAACTAGAAACTCTGCCTGGAAACACACCAACCAAATGACGATTGATCAACAAATATGCAGAAGAAAATGGAAGTGGATCGGGCATACGTCGAGGAGGCCTTCAAATGACATTGCGCACCAGGCCATCGCTTAAGGGGAATCCAAACGAGAAGTGATGGGTGGGTCGTTGGTGTAAGGGTGACATGGAGGTGATCGTGCAAAGAGGAGAAGGAGAGATTATGGGTAATCGTGGGGCCAGCTAAAGAGAGGATAGCAGAAAATTGAACAAAGTGAAGATGTTACAGGAATTCATAATGAGCTGACATTAGTTAGAGAACCATTGGAAAACCTAGGAGTACTGGATAGCTGTTTTGTCCCAGTTTGGGACTCTTCATCAGTACGCACCCACCGGGATTCGAGCCCAAGACCTTCTGGTTACAAGTCGTGACCAGTAGGGTGCAGCAGGTCGGGTGTGAGGACAAATACTCGCCGAAGACATTGGCTAGGGGTCGCGATATGTCGTGAATTGGCAGAAGTTAGAATTCATGGGCCACTGGATCGGGTCCCAGTGGCTTAATGGTATACGAGCTCGCCTTGTAACCAGAAGGTCCTGGTTTCGAATCCCGGTGGGTGTGTACTGTGAAGAGTCCCTAACTAAGACGAAACAGCTGTTCAGTACTCCCAGGTTTTCCAATGGTTCTCTAATTAATGTCAGCTCATGATGAATTCCTGTAACCAATCAAACCCTTGCAAACGAACACTTGAAAGTGGAGATGTGTTGTTGAAGCCCAATGTTCCACTCGAAACCCAAGGGAATAATACGAATAGTAATAATTGTCAGGATTTACAGTGGTTTTGTATATCCTATTTCAGCAGCCACACTGCATATCCAGTCTTTGGATTTCAACCAACACTTTGTACTAGATGGCTTTATTGCTTATCATTCAGCGATTCATTCACATACAACAGAGGGGTTGGTTATAATGTGCACTTTAAACCTGAGTAATGGCTTTTAACGATATCCCTAGCTTTATTACTATATATACAATTTAAGTCTGATAGTGTTGAGTATAAAAGATTTTTTGTCGATAAGATGCGTTTATTCTGCATTTTTTGATATATCCATTGATCTACTTTGCTTTACAGAAATCAGCTTATTGTAGGCGCGGCAGTTTCCACACAGAAGGGGTCTTTCACTCGTGTTGAGGCATTAGTTAACGCTGGAGTCGATGCACTTATTGTTGTAAGTATTTTGTCTTATCAGTTTTTAATATATGTGTAGAACTTGGGCGCTCCATATTAGTTTGTTTACTAGATATACCACACACAGGGTGAAACAGTATTATTTACTGGATAACGTTTCGTAGACAAATAGGAGAGAACAAAGAAAACTATAAAACTCAAGTTTCGAAGTCGTGTGATTATAATTGATATGATTGTGAACATCCAGTAAATAATAGTGTTTCACACTGTGTGATATATCTAATAAACAAAATAAAATGGAATTAATTATCGGTTTTAATTTTTATTTTTTCTATAATCTTATCACTAGTTCAATATCATTTGTTTTTGGAATAATTATGAATATAGATATTTTTCGGAAGCTTGACAGCGAATATTTTCTCGGCTGCAAACAAAGTTTACTCGTGACTTTCCCGGGCATTTGTTATGTTGTTTTTATGACATTCATCAAGATTATGGATATCGGTATTAGAGGCAAAAGGTGTGTGTATGTGCTGAGAATTTTGTATTAGAGTGACTGTAACTTTTAGGTGACCTTTGTAGTATACTACTGAAATCATTCAAGGTCGAAAATTATCGGGAAACTGAAGTGGTCTGTGGGTTTTATAGGTAAGCTGGTAAGTTTTTTTCACAGAGATGAAATAAACCGTGGTAATGAGTGGTTCTGTCTTATCTACAAGTCACATGTAGTCACATAGTGTTCTAGCCAAACGTTCTGTAAATCACACGGTGAAACCGAATTGTCTACTAGATAATGTTTCAGACGTCTGACTTCACAATCATATTGAGTATAACTCCGCATCATTGAAACTTCGTTTTAACAGTCCTAGTTCTTTTTCCCATTTGTCATGGGGACAACTGGGATAACTCAATCACCCAGTACTAGGCTATGAGCCACATTTATTGTGTGACGGCTAATGATAATACCCCCGCTGGGTGACATCGTGCGTCAGGCCATAGCTCGAGTGGAACCTGAAAGGGAAGCGGCGAGTGGGACGTCCAAGGGTGACATAGAGGAGATCGTGTGAAGAGGAACTGAAACAGTACAGCAGAAGACAAGCAAGTGGAGACGTGCAGTTGAAGCCCTATGTTCCACTAGGAACTCAAGGGAACAATAATAAATAATAATAATGATAATAACCAGTTTCCCAGGCTGAAGTAAGCGGAGAGAGGGACTCGAGCCTAGGACCCATTGACTGATTGATAGTCTTATGCTTAAGCCAATGAACCGTATCTCCACACAAGATTTCCTAGATAGTATGGAACGATAGTAGTCAAGTTTAACATTTTCATCAATTCTAGTTGGATGGCTTACTTTCTCTGCTCACATGCTTCAATCTAGACGGTTTTGTTGTTGTTGTTGTCGTCGTCGTCAAACAAATCTTAAACTGGTTGTGATATATAACCTTCTTCATAAAAAGTAATCCATTGTTGAAAAATGATCAGAATAATAAAATCGTAAGATGGTGTGAGTAGTAGCTGCTACTTGCTGTATGATATGCAAACTGGGAACAATACAAAAATTAAATACAAACGTTTGATTATATTATACTATATTATTTGATAAGGGTTGAAGCCCCCTCTGAAAAGTAAATTCAGTGATGATATACATTGCATTAAAACACATACCAGTCTATAATTGAATAATAGTAGATGGGGTGGTGATGCCATTGACAATAGTGAACCAAGTGTATATTACAGAGACAGGAGGGATTGTATTGTAATCATCAAGACAACAGAAGTAATGATGAATTCCTGAAAACTTGTGATCAGTTACTTCTTCAAATCTGTAAATTAGTAAGATTCGACTACTCAGATGGTCTTATCAAATTTTACACTATAGACAGTAGAACAGTGTCACTCTGTTACACTTCAAGGTAGTGTTTCTCATGGGCCTAAATTCTCTACTTGTGTTTGCACTTTGAGGTGTTGGGGATATATATATATATATATATATATATATATATATATATAAAGAGTATTAGTGGTTTGGTCATAGAATTCTCGCCAATCACGCGCACGTTTTGGCTTCGATTCTCGGCCAGTGTGCTTCCAACCCTCGTCTAAGCAGTAATAATCATAGTTTCTGCAAGCTAAGTCCTGTTCATTGCCTTCACGCGGTGGGGTGTCCCTCACATAAGTGAAAGGCGGGATATGAACAACCGGACTGGTGGAGATACTGGTCTACCTAGAGGAACTGGAAAATCCTGACTGCAAACCTATGGTAGTGTACATGGACTCTAGAATTTGAACCTATCGAATCCTCTATGAAACTGTTTTGGACACCAGCAATCATGGCAACTGAAGCTGCTCCACTGACCGACGGATCAGATTTTCAGTTGAAGGCTCGGAGAGTGGTCTTCTGAGACAACCATCTGTTTCAGTCTTGGAGCCCTTAAAGAAACTATGACATTTTGCTTGGTGCATCTTTTGGTGCCTATAACGTACCAAGTTTCCGTTTCAATAAATATAGTCACACAAGTAAAATACAGGATAAAAGAGAATGTTGGTCGTGAGACTAGCAACCCCATCCCATGGAAACAACATCACCGCTCGAGCTTGAAGCCGCATGTTCCACTTGGAATGAATGAAAGGAAAACACATGTACATATAAGAATGGAATTACTTGTAGGCAATGTGTATTACTTATTTAATTCAATTTTAGATTTTCTCGTCGATTGATTGGACCGAAGTGCTCGGTCTCAGATTGACATGTCAGCCTCTTGTGCAGACGCTTCGACGACGTCTTGGCATGTAATTAGAAGTTAACTGGTGGATGGTGACTAGCAGTGGAATCCAGGATAACACGCATTTCGTCCTATTTGGGACTCATCAGCTGGACGTACTTGCATTCCGCAGTGAGTGTTGATGTTCCCATCGAGGCTCGAACCCGGTGCCCATAGTTTCAAACGTTGAGGCGTTATCCACTAAACCACTGGGTTCGAGCCTCGGTGGGAACATCACCACTCACTGCAGAATGCAAGTAGATCCAGATGACGAGTTCTGAATAGGACGAAGTGCGCATCCTGGATTCCACTGCTAGTCACCACCCACCAATTAACTCCTTATGTCTACTACATTTAGGCTTTAAGTGTTTAGAATCATGTAGATACAATTCATAAATTTACTCTCATAATGCTTCATTGCTATGCAGACTTGTGGTGAGTACTCAAAATATGGTGTTTAATAATGGTCATTTACTCCATTATATATTGTTAAAATATCGATTGATTCATTCCTACTTGATTAGCATTTCATACATAAGTTTTAGTGCTCATCAAAATCGAAATAAAATATGTATAGAGCCGTCAATCATATAAGTGCTGATGGGAACTCGGCTGTATCCACCGTCTTTAATCAATTCACTGAAAGACTTATTGTTGGATGTTGCTTCACATTTTTTTTTCCTTCACGTTCCCCAGTGGAACATAGTGCTTCAAGCTAGTAGCTTGATGTTTCTGTAGCAGTGCTTATGTTTACAGGATGGGATTGCTAGCCTCATGCTCAACCTTTACTCTTCACCAGCATTATTTCTGGCTTAGCGAGGTAAAGGAGTGCGTCTGTGGCCGGGGATCGAACCCCGGACCATGTGCATAGTCGGCGAGCGTCCTAACCGCTATGCCACCGACTCACAAAGCTTGGGTTCGAACACAGAACTTTCCGGTTACAAGGCAAGCTCGTATACTATTCAGCCACTGGGATCACATTAGGGCAATTCAATTCAAACCTTATTCATTTATTATTCGAAATTTTCGTTTGAAAAAGAAAACACGCTTTGGATTTCAGTCACAGTTGCTTCAAAGTCGAAACATTAAAGAAAAAAGTTTAAATATGAAAAACTCTCATAAAGCTACTAAGCAATAGATGGAAGTTTTTCAAGATAAATATCTTGAAAAACGAAATTTCTAAATTCATTCTTTTTTATACAGTACACTGTTTAGTTTGTAGGCTAAATAAATATTAGGAGATTTTGATATCTTTAAGAAATTGTACTTTTACAAGTTTCGTTGTGTGTGTGTGCGAATACTTCCATTGTTTCATTCTTACTATTATTCATGATATCATGTTTGTCGTGAATATTTTCCAATGGACCAGTTATTTTCTACAATTAGGCATTATAACTTAGGTCGAAAATTTGTACTTTCACAATTGTTCTTGTCGTATATATATATAAAACTATATTGGGAGGAAAAGTGTGTCTAGCATTCGATCGTGTACTGACCACTCCCAAGTCAACTGAAGTTGGAAGATTATTCAAAATGACAAAAATCGTATATTGATTACTAACAAGCTGATAAGTAATAAAGATAGGATGTTAATTTCTTTACTCTGAGGATAACATAAAGGCTTTTTAGGGTTTAATGAGCATCGCCCTTTTACTGTCCCGTAGTTCTTCGTTTTAAAGTTTTCTGTTTTGATATCATGTTGCAATATCAGTCTTCTCAATGCCTTATCTAAATTTGTTTCAAGTTTGGTCACGGATTGATATAAGTTAGGGATCCATCGGAAAACAGTAGGGAGTACTGGACAAAGGTTTCGTCCTGGTTTGGTACTCATCGGCAGTACGCACCCACCGGTGTTAGAATCCAAGACCTCCCAGTTACAAGACAATCTTGTAGATCATTCATCCACTAGGACCCACCATATTGGCGTATAAATTCTAACTCCTACTAATTCTTATTTTATCAAAGGGACTAACTTTTTTTAACGATGTTGTTCACATAAACATCTGTCGTGGAGTTCTTGCTGTAAATTAACAAGATCGATTAACAGACAGATAAAACGGTACAATTTAGAATGTCACACTTAGGTTTCAAATCTTTAAATATTCCCATTTATAATATTAGAACAAGACATATAAGCGAACAATATTGTTTTCAATTAGATCTTCAGGCTTTACTCTAATTTACATAGATTTATATATAAAATTTTAACCAATGACGGTGAAACTAATCAAATCATTAGACAGTCAAAATCCTGAAAAGGATTTCCCTTCATTCC